GGGATGGTGCTGCGCCGCCGACTTCATATGCGACACAGTTGCCATGCTAGGCATGTTGGAAACATGTGGCGGCATTGCAGACATGCCATGACGATACTCGGTGTGCACTTGCGCAGCTTGCGATGGTTTCATGGGCACATTGAATGTATTGAGTGGCGGTGAGTTCGCTTGCATTGGTGGCGGCATCAGGCGTGTGGGCAGCTGCTGCGCATAATAGCTGCGACGCACTGAGGTGTATTTCGGTTGCAGTAGTGGCGTTTCACCCTTAGCGTTTTTCATGCTACCAGCGTAAGGTTGATGGAAGGGCTGTTGATGCTGGTGTGGCGGCAAGGCGTGCTGGCCCATATTTTCGTGTTGGTGGGGTGTTTTTGATGCATGCGCACCACTGCCTGCACGCACATGCTCATTGGGCATGCCAAGCAGCATAATGTCTTTCTTGCTGGGATGCGCCAAACGCACACTATTCGCCTCCTGCTTGCCATTGCTGCTCTCTTCCTTGCTACTATCTTTTGTGGTCTCCGCCCAGTAGCGTACATGCTCGAGCGTTGGCGGGCTGTAGTCGAATGTCGGATCGTTTTTCAGCGGATCACCACGGCCCACGGGACGCCATTCGTTGCTGTAATCCAAGCGCGGACTGAATGCGTGCACTGTGCCTAAACATCACACGCAATGTGGAGTGGAGTGTACGGAATGCATGAAATGAGAAGGTGAAAAAAAGAAAAAAGTGGAAAATTAAAAATAGCTTTCAGCCAGTCAGACGTTCATATTTGTTTGCAAAATATTTAAAGTTTGAAAAGTTTTTATATCCACCACACTCTGTGCCTAAAAATTATTGTAAATATCCTGTTAAAAAAAAAAACCTTGGGCAATAGAAAACAGGGTACTTAAGAACACCCTGAAAGGGTAAAAGAAGGCGCGAGTACCAGGTACTCATGAAATTTGATGTGTATAATTCTGTGTACGGCTTGGAAAAGCATTTCAGGATCTTTTCATGACTAGTTTCGAACTATCCCAAGCTGGTCCCAAAATTGCCCTGAAGTAGTCCCGAATTGGCTCTGAAAAAGTCGTGCACTTGTCCCGAATAGATATTAAAATGTTTTGTGCACTATGACCTGGTGATCTCTCCAGTAAGTCTCGAAACAGTCCCCAAATGTTCCTTCACTAGTCGCCAAAATTATTATGAACTAGTCCCCAAAATTATTCCGAACTATGTAGTCCTGAAATAGTCCTGAACTAGCCCCGAAGTGGCATGTTATAGGTGTGAACTAGTGCCGAAATAGTCCTGAAATAGATCCAAAATGGGCCTGAGCAGGTCCCGATACGATCCTGAAATGATCCCGAACCAGTCCTGGTCCTGAAATAGCCCTGAAATAGTTACAAAGCTTCTGCTAGATTAACGCAATTTTTATCCATACCGAAGGCTAAGATGTTTCCATATAAAAAAATTTTATTTCGAAAAGTTTTATTGTATATTTGTAAACTCGATTACGTAGACAATTGGCAATTCAGTTTTTCCTAATAAACAATCGTGGTACAAAGCTCAATTAAAAATATTAAAAATAAAATGTTAATAAGCCACAATAACATTGACAAATGTCTTGAAAGCTGTTGTTTGTCTTTCGCAAGACTAATTGAAAACTCTGCTAACGAGGAGGACTTAGCCTTATTCTTTTAGGTATACGTTTTATAAAAATTAAATGAAATTTAAAAGCAATATAGTTTTCCTTTTAAAATAAAAACTAAAAATAAAACTAAAAAATTTAATTGAAAAAAAATTTCCAAAATAGGTTCCTAAAAATTAAATTAAATACAAAAATATGTTTATTTAAAGCAATAAAATCTGATAATTGAAAGAAAATTAAATGTTAAAATATCAAATAATCTCCCAAAAAAATAAATAAAGTTAAAAAAAATTTTTTTCTTTTAAAAACAATGTAAATGATAAAGAAAATTAAGTAAAAAAAAATGAATTGAAAAAAAAGAAAAAATTTCATAAAAATTAAATGAAAGTTAAAAAAATATTTTTCTTTTTAAAATAATTTAATCTAAAAATTAAAATAAATTTAATTAAAAAAACATAAAAAATTAATTTAAAAAAAGAAGAAAAAAATATAAGTTTCTAAACACTAAATAAAATTTAGAAAAATATGTTTCTTTTTAAAACAATAAAATGTAGATTTTAAAGAAAAATACAGCCTCAAGCTCAACAAAATTGTTAAAAGAAAATTAAATTAAAAAAAATTTTATTAATTAATGAACAAAATTAAATGGAATTAAAAAAATATGTAAAAATTAAAAGAAAATTAATTTAAAAAAATTCCACTGCCCGAGGACTCGCACCCTGATCTCAAGAATGAAACGCCGATGCTTTGCTCACTCGGCCATTGCGACTGTTGGGGCAGCGCAATTAAAATGATATATGTACAAGTGATTTAAGCCAAACGAGCTTTTCACCATGAAAGTTGGTAAGGGCACTATTTTTTTGTAAGACTTTCGCGTCTGGATAAGCAAAATCTTTCAAAAATATTTGCCCACTCTTTTTTCCCTGTACGATAACCATCTGAGTAAGATCATCAAAATGATGAGCATAATTTTATAGCATTCTGTATTAACAGATGGAGGTACAGCTGTAACATTTGTTAAACCGTACACTTCGCGAGCGGGGCCGCGGACAAAAATCAGCATGTACATTAGGGTGGTCCAAAAATGCATGTGAAAAAGTAAAGTCGGAGTTTTTATGCTTTCACCCCCTAGGATTGTTCTATGCCGAAAAAAATATACCCCTACTTTTTTTATTTTCAAATCAAAAAATATTGAGAGGTCGCTCAAAGCGCTCACAGTTTTCCATGTACTTTATATTGGAAAAAACAACTTTTCGTAGAAATGGTATAGAATTCTTGAAAATCAATATTTTTCGATTGAAAAACTCTGTTTCTCTTCAGGAGATTTCCAATATTAATACCCAATTATTGATTGAACCATTTTTTCATAGTAGCTATATTTTATAGGTCCGCCAAAAAACCCAGAAAATTACCGATAATGCAATGGGGGACCACTAAAAAATTTTTAGTATTAAAAAATGGTTAAACAAAAAATTTTGTAGAAGTAGAATTTTACGATCGAAAAATATTGATTTTCAAGAGCTCTACCCGATTTCCAGGAAAAGTTTTTTTTCGCCCATATAAAATACATGGAAAATTTTGAGCGCTTTAAGCGACCTATAAATATTTTTTGATTTCAAAATAAAAATATATGGGTATATTTTAATCCATATAGAACAATCCTAGGGAGTGAAATTATTAAAATTCAGACTTTACTTATTTTTGGATTTAATTTTCTTTCTGGTTTATTTACATATTTAATTTTGTATGGTCTTTTTTTCTTTCACCGCGTACCCCGCCATGCACACGCTCATTATCATTGCTCCATTTATTTATTGTTATTTTATTATATTTTTGTTTCTATTTTTCCCATGCTTATTGGCGATCTTTTATTACATGAGTGTTATAATTGCCCATGCTAATGCGTACAACGCTGAAAACATTGAAAAACATCAACGCTGTCAAACGCTTGGTCGATTTGAAAAGTAGCCAGGCAGGCAGGCAAGCAAGCCGGCGGGTTTGTGTGGGCAACGCCGCCAATGCCGCAAAGGGGCGGTCGTCGGTGAAGCTACTCGACTTAACATGCCACCACTAGCCCCGCTCACCGCACTGCCTTTATGCGACTGTGGCACTGCGGCCAGCGCAGTTGCCATTGCCATTGGCGATTGGCTCTAGTCAGCTTGTCCGCCTGGTCTGGCCGGCCTCATGTGTTGCTCCATCACCCCATCTGCTTTATTGACTTGCTACACTCCATTGAACTGCTGGCTGCTGTTGTTGGGTTGTTTTTTTTTTCAACTAACCACTGGAGCATTCGCTGCTGGCGATTAAGCGTACGCCTACTATGCAATAATAGATACTCGATGCGGTATAATCATAACTTGTTAAAGTGTTAACAAATGTTTCTGCTACCACCTCACCTTGCACCAACTGCCGCCGCCCAACTATAGCTCCCAGCTTACCGCCTAACTAGCCGGCAGCCTCACTGGCTTAAGCACTTAAGACTAAGGCTGCCTCCTTCATTGACCACTCTCCGGGTTGGTTTTTCTGTCTTACTGTCTGTCTGTCTGTCTGTCCATCTGTCCTCCTCCTTGTCTATTAGTGCAGCCCAGTTATTGCCGCTGCTGCTGCTGCTGCTGCACTGCTTCTGCTTCTGTATTTAACAGCTTTACTAACTACTTTTGGTATCAAATGTCGTCTTCGTTTTCATCGTTCAGCGCTCGACGCTTAGCGCACAGTCCAGTCCGGTCGGTCTGGCGTTTCATTTGAGGCGTCGAAGCGAAAAAATTGTGCAAATTATTTTATGATGTATCTACAATTGCCACAACAATGTTGATTACCACTTTTAGTGCGTTAATAATGCCAGTCAATGAAATTGCTGCTTTGCTGCTTGGTGTGTTACTTGATTGTTTAGTGGTTTCGTTGTCGTTGCTGGTGTTGTTGTTGTCAATTTTTCTCTTTTTCCTTATTTTTTGTTATTTTATCGATAGCTTGAATGTCTTCTTTATTGTTGCTTTTGATGCAATGAGCAAAATAAAAAAACGACACAGTGATTAGTTTTTTTTTACGAAATCCATGATTGTTGGTTTTAAGATAGTTGGACTTTGAGAAATGTTAATGGCCGTCTTTATTGAATTTCTTTATGAAATTATTTGTATTATTTATAATTATGCATCTGTGTAAAAATGTTGTAAAAAATAGCATAATCAATAAACACACATATAGGCATAAAATCTTGGAATAAGAGCGTTTTCGTAGCACAAGTCGCAGGTGGTGGAGGTAATTTCAAACTTGAAATTTCTTTTCATCGTGAAAATATTATGCGTCAGATGGCGCTGGTATGAGTATATTGTAAAGGACTAGAAACTGATTTCCAATTTGAAACCATAGACCACAAATTAATATTGTAAATAAATTGTTTTAGTACAAGAGATAAAACTATATATATTTGGACACTCTTAGACTTATCTCCATTTACAATAAACTAGCAGACCCGGCGTACTTCGTCCCGCCCAAAATTATTATTTTTTTATTGAAACTCTGGTTCAATATCTTCACCAACATTTAACGTTCACCTGGCATATTTATCGGCTAAGGTTATGGGTTGGTGGTCGTCAGAAGGCATATTTCCATAGCCGTCTTAACCTAGTGTTATGTCCGTGAAGAAGTTCTTGAAATTCTCCAATGATGATAAAATATATTTGAAGAACTTTTTCCTCTTCACTCCCTGGCGGCAACAATGATCCTGTTCTATTGTGAATCTGCCCTTGAAACTGTATAGTATAGTTGGTGGCCATTTCAAAATGGGCGAGTATCCTAAACACCTTACATGTGTTGCCCAGTAGCGCGGTGGTTCTGGTGGTTTATTAACGGTGGTCGTTTGAGATTGTCCCCCTGGACAACTCCAATTCTGGTATCTCTGAATGAAGCTTTAATCGGACAATCACGGCACTTTTTCTCATTTGATTATTTTTAGTAATAACTCGACTCCAGCGCCTCTTGGCGGGTCATGTTGTGAACCTAAGCTATTCGGAGACCCACTCACACACGTACAA